GCACCCCCACACCCACATCACAGGCGGGTCTAGGTCAGGGTGCCCACGACAGGCAGGGACCAGGGACCACACAGCATCTTAGGGACCATGCCTACAATCCTAAGAGCTGATGGAGGAGAGGCAGATGGCAGATCTCCAGAGGAAATGGCCAGTGCCCTCTCACACTTACCCTGGCCACCTGGATCCAGTGCTCCAGCACGCTGGCCCTGTCTCTAGCCTTCATGCTGGAGTCCCCGAGGAAGGAGGTGATCACACATTCGGCCACGAGATTAAAATGTGTGACGGTGGCCTGAACGGTGGGCTCCAGGTGTTCATTGCCCGTTGTGTTTCTGTGGGTCCAAACGGAGCCCAGGCATTCCCAGGGCACCACTTTCTTGAACAGCTCCTGTGGAGGAGGACAATGTCACCTGGGCAGAACCCACCTCAGAGAGTCTATGGCTTCATCCGACAACAGGCAGGGGGCTGTGGCCTGAGTTGCAGATCAGGAAGCTGTAGATATGGACAGAGACTTCTGCAAATGGCTGAGGTTTGTCTACTGCCCATGGGTGATGGCCTTAGTCATGACCCAGGACTTGGCACTGATGTGAGAATCAGGGGCATTTTCTCCGTGTCCATCCTTACAAACCTCCAGCACTAGCACAGGACTCCGTCCTGCCACTTCTGAGGTATTGTTTGATTTCCAACCTCGCCTGCCCTCTGCTCCTTTCTCCAGGTCCCTGGCCCATTCCCTGTGCCAGCTGTGACTGGGGTCTCTGTCTGGGGGTCTGCTGTAGAATCGGTGCATTTCAAATGCCTACAAAGTGATAAGGCTGGCCAGGTCTCCTGGGACGGTGGCAGATGACACATGCACCCGCCTGCACCTCAGTGAACACTCTCCTCTACCAGTTGGGCTGAGTCCTCACCCTGTGTTCCATTTGTCCAATCTCAGTGGACCCTCTGGGCACTTTGTGAAGCGGGTACGGGGGTGCCCTGTCCTAGTGTCTACATCCGCACGAGGCCAGGAGTGGCTCGGGGCTGAGACGAGCAGAGGTGACGCAGTTTGTAGAATGAGGAACCTTGATCTGGCAATCTGGGAATGTCAGGACTGAGAAGGTCCGTGCCAGAAGAGTGGGCCACCCTTGCCCTGGCCCACAGAGCTCAGCTGCTCACTGCGTCCATCAAGGTGAGCTGTTCTGCCAGCAGCTTGGGAGAGAAGGCCAAGAGCAGCACCTTCTGCAGGGATCCACCCTTCTCAGCCGCAGAAGACACACAGGAGTGCTGTGGAGCTGGCTTCTGCTTCTCTCCTGTCTCCAGAGGAGGCTGTTTCTCTGGTGCTGGCTCTGGCTGCAGAGCTGGCCCGTGTTGCTCCGGATATGGAGCAGGAGCTGCAAGGAGGAAAGCTGGGCAGTGTTAGTCACTTCCCAGTGACCTGTCAGGCACAGAAGAGACATCCCTGCAGTTCTGGGAATCCGAGTGCCCAACCAAAAGCCACGGAAGCCTTCCAGACTGCTGCGTCCCTCACCTTCCGTTTCTGCCTTGCAGGGCTCTGGATGCTCCCCGTGAGCAAGGGGAAGGAGCAAGGGAGGCTCCACGTCTGCTCCAGGTGAG